AGGGTTGTGGGCTTAGGTGGTTACTCGTATGCAGGTTAGCCCCGTAGTCTGATTCTTCAAAGATTAGGCGAATGCAAAAATGCTGGTTCGAAAGGATAGAAGTGGCTTAGTCTTCGGCAGGAGCTGGAGGGAGGGAAAAGTCTATTTTAATTTTTACGAGCGCAAGATTACTGTACTTGCCTAATTTCAATCTTAGTCAGGCATATGATGTGTCCAATGTGTATTTTTTTGTGCTATCTGTATATGTGAAGTTGAGGGAGCTGGCGGGAATTCGTTATGCCTCTCCGGAAACCGAAGAAGGATTGTCGAGTAGGTAAGACGGATGTATTGTGCGGAGAACTCATCGGCTCACCGTCCTTCAACCTCAATTAAACTTTGTCTATACTGCGTCAAATATCATCAGAGCAGGTATCCATACTACCAGAAATAGAGAAAAAATATACTAAACCATGTAAAAAGGTGACGGGCTGCAACCCCAATTGCTTTTTGTTACAACTAACCTTGCGATTTTAATGAGAAATCCTATAATTTGGTTGGCTACTTCAATCATACTCTACATGCTTGCGGATGAGGAAAGTTACTTCACGAACCGGAAGTGCGTTCGGTGGCAGCTGTTTCCTTACACAAATAAACTAGTGTACAATCCTTTAATGTTGAATCGGGGTTGGGCTTGTGTCTATTGTGCCAATGTAATGTTCATGTCATGGGAAGTGTGATAGTCCTAGCCGGATGCTAGGCTAATTCAGCATCCTTCTCTTACTCAATGGCTCTTCCTGCACTCCCTCACTCTCTCTCCCTCTCCTTAAGCCAATCCAACAGCCACAAGCAGTTCCCATTCAGTTCTCTACACTCGTTTTTCCTATCCAGGACGTTGGCTGATTTGTTAATTTCTATAGACTCTATAATCTTACGCTTTGATGTGAAGTCCCCTTAACCCTCAAAACGTTCTGTTTTAGACCAGTCTATTGAGCGCCCTGTATTAACCGCGTGTTCAACGAGCTCAGATTTTTAGACACATGGAACTTTACAACCGGCTTTGTGTTCGCATACTATCCTCTAGATGAGTCGCCACTTCTTCCCCACCTTGACCTTAGCACATAAGTACAAAACCTTGTAGTAGAGAGTCTGAATATTCTCTAAACGAAGGAATTACTGAATTAAATGTTAGTTTCTCTTTATACATTGTTTTTATGTTTCACTTCCTAAGTAGATAACTTAACCTTTTCGCAAGCTGACAGGAAGACAAAATGAAGATCCGAATAAAATGGTACACTTGTGTATCCCGCCCCAGAACGCAAACTCCTCTTATCCTGTTAGCGACAATTGAACTGCAATTGCCTACTAATCCTAATGAGTAATTGTTTTGAAACAGTATATTCCCCAATCTACCAAACTACGGTCCCTGTTTTCGCAACATGGTCATATTGGTAGTAAGACTTATAGAAACGCACCTAGTCCGGAGTACGTTTGGGAATGTACCACGTCCATGGTTCAACTTTGGAAATGATCATGCAGACAATGGACTCCGGACTGGGTGAGATCCTCTAAGTCTTTTTACTAATATGACTATGTTGCGAAAACAAGGTCAAACAACCTCTATACAACGAAAGGAGACTGCGACCACACAAAACGGTCTTCATATCTTTGATGGTAAGGATAGTTTAGATATTTTATTGTTATTAATTAACCAGATTGACTGCTCGAAAACAAGGTCAAACAACCTCTATACAACGAAAGGAGACTGTGACCACACAAAAGGCCACACCACGGTCTTCATATCTTTGATGGTAAGGATAGTTTAGATATTTTATTGTTATTAATTAACCAGATTGACTGCTCGAAAACAAGGTCAAACAACCTCTATACAACGAAAGGAGACTGTGACCACACAAAAGGCCACACCTCTTGCTCTTCCTACCCCCTGGTCCCTGTTAGTTTGAATCTGTTAAACGCAGACTCATTATTAGCATTTATTCCATAGGTCCAATTTTGACTTTATATGTATGGTTCGGGAAGAAATTAATAAGGAAACCCGCGTGTCTGGGTTTCCTATACACGGCTTTAACTAACTTATTAACTTCTTTGCTCACTAATACATCCAAAAAGGCAGTTAAGCTTCCCATATAAGTGAGTAGTCCCGATTACCTACTCACTAACGAAAAAAATTTACTTTTTGCTTCTAACTTCGTGGCATACTCAGTATTGGCATCTATCCTAGTTATTAGTTTAAGAAATTCGCACAAACTATCTTTTGCTGTGTTACCAAACAGCAGAATAATCGTCGACATGATGAACCAATAACTTTGGAACTAGG